GCTCCAGTTCCTTGTAAGTGTTTCTTTTGATCCTATAGAAATTCAACAATCAACTGGAGTTTGAGCTCTCTTATCATGTTTCCGGTTGCCATACAGGCAAATCTGTTAAAATAGTGGGTATGCAGAAACCCAGGCCCCATGGCAGGCCGCTCTCTAACCCTAAACCCTAACCCCTCAACCCTAAAAACTCAACCGGGTGTAGGCTGCAGGCCAAGGCTTTCTCTGAGACGCAGAAGTACTTCTGCGTGTCCAAGCAGGCATCAAATGCCTTGAATATACAGGTGGTTTCCCATAATTAGGGGTACCATTTTGGCTGTCCCCAGAAGAAGCATTGTAGTATGACTATATTGGGGTGTATATTGGGATCCCCCTATTTTGCCAAACTACCACATCCACCTGAGGATTTAGGGTTTAGGGTTTGGGGTCCAGGGTTGCTTTGTTTGTCGAGGTTTAGCGTTTAGGGTTTGGAGTTAAAGGTGTTTTCTTTCTCGGGGTTTAGGGTTTCTGGTTTACGATTTGTCTTTTCTCCGGGGTTTAGGGTTTAGGATCGGACTATCCACTGAACAGCATGTCGGGCTTTCTCATTTTGGGGGGCGTCTATAATACGCATCGTAATATTTTGGAGTCTATGTTGGGGTCCCCCTATTTAAGCCGATGATCAGGAAACCATATGAGCTACAGTCTAAACTCCTAGCATCCCCCGTAATAACCCCTTCAACACTCCCCTATAATCCTTTTAGGAGTTTGGTTTATGGCTCATAAGAGCCTGCAAGCAGACACTTGACTCATGCAATAAATGCAAACTTCCAAGGGTTCTTCACAAGCAACATTGGGGTCAGCAGGAACAAGTATGGAACGAAAAAATGCTGTCACCAAGGCTGTGTTCACAAGGACCTGACTTTTTCTCCAATTGCTGCCAGCTGATCTTTCTCCACCATCCACCTGAGAGCAGTATCCTTTGTCTCCGCACTTGCATATGCATTCCTGCTGCACTGGAAGATCAAGTACTAGTAGCTCAAATTCTGATAAGCGACTCCTCCATCATTTCGCGGAGGTCTGCCTTCTTGCAATGACCAGAATATCTCGACACCACACCACATGGCTCATACTGGTACTCCCAGACCAGATGTAACAAGAAAGCAGGCACAGCTTTCCACAAGCCTCATGGCTCGCGGTAACGGCCTCAAGAAAAGGCTGTCTGAAAGGTTCTGGAAGAAGAATTGGAAACCTCTCCTCTTTAACTGTTTGAACGGGTGCATGCGGGAAAAGACGGAAGCGGGCTACACTGGACTGGCCGCAAATTGGAGCGGAGCCCTAGACACTGAACAAGCTCTACTACTGTTCATGGCCACCTCCTGCTCCTCGTTGGGCACCAGGAGAGCGCTCAACTGAGGTCAAGGAAGCATTATTGGCAAAGCACAAAGCGCAGCTATCGAAATGGCATTGCATGGCCTGCTTTTCCGCAGTTTCAGCATCCTTGCCAAAAGCCTGCAACCGAACAGACGATTGACTGAGCTTGTAGAATGAAAAAAGGCTAAGCTTGGGCCTCGATGGAACCCTTCAGCACCGCGGCCTTTTCTTTGGAGGCCTGCTGATCTTACGTGCGACTTGAGAATGGTGGAAGCAAGTTTCAAACGGGCCTCGTGCACGCTGGACAGCGACGCCTTAAGCGCCTGCGGGTGGATCAATGTCCAGGTGCTATAGAAAGCCATGACAAGACATCAAGCAGGAAGAAACTCGTAGATCAGCTGCCTGGTAAAAGTCGGGGTCGGTGGCCCCCAGGGAGAGGCAAAGAAAATGAAGTGATGAAACCTGCATGTCCACCGCAGAGCTCCACATGCAAGGGAACTACCAGGTGACCATGACTTGCAGAAACGGTTCTCCATACAGCTGCGCAAATCGCAATTCAAACAGCAGTCTTTCTACTGCGGCTGCGCACAAAGGTGTTCAGGCATGAAGGAACGCAAGCTTGCAGCGGCATGCAAACATCCATGTGTACCAAGGCTGCGACAGCCCCCGTCTTGAAGGAGGCCAATGTCAAAAGAGAATCGACGCTCACGCCGCGGATGGTGCCGTCGACAAACTGTTGTACAGGGACCGAAGTGCTGCACTGCATGCCCAGCTGGGTGTGGCTATGCCTCATCCACGCCGTGGTTGATGAAATTCCCAACCTCACGGCAGCTCGGAGCGAAAATGCGGCGATCAACCGAAGCCATTCTGAGGTCACTGGCACGAATTACCAGGTCGAGAAGTTCCTTGAACTTCTGGCTGGAACGCGCCTGGCAGGATCTACGTGCAAGCGGGCCGAAGCCTTTGTAGAGCGCACATCCCCCTAATGGACTACGTTACTTCTGGGACAGTCGAGGTGGCTCTGTCTGATGCTTTCTTGCTTTGGAGTTGTCACAAGCTGCTTCTTGGCCTGCTCTGCAGCAGACATCAGCACCTGCCCGGGGAGTGCAAAACGCGAACCGGGAACAGGATCTTATCCAAACTTGTGGTTTTACGGTCCAGAACATAGGAAACGCGATCTACTGCAGTGAGAGTACCTGCTGTAAGTGAGAGCGAAAAGCCAGCTGTTCACATTGAACAGACCACATCAATACTATGCCACCACAAAGAACAACCTCTTGCCCAACACAGGCTTTATTAATGATATCCCAAGCTAGTGGATCACAATTGCACCTCGCATCTGTTCTTGATGGTGTTGAACTGCGATTGGTGCGACAATGCAAACCTTGACGACACAAGCAGCTTCGAGGATCACATGAGCCATAGTCTTAACTCCCAGTATCCCTCTTAGTACCCCCTAATTATAATACTCCTCTCTTTAATCCCCTATATAAATCCCGTTAACAAGTTTAGACTATAGCTGACATGTCGCAGAAGCAAGAGTTGTGCTGGGGTGCCATTGGGCACCATTGTGATTGCATGGCAGCACTAAAGACTAGACTTCCTGCAAGCCTGCATAGCAGTGCTCCTCCGTTGTTCCACACAAACATTTGAACATGATGCTATTGATCTCGAAAACGCTCTTGAACAGGCATCATCCCAGTGTAGTTCACGTTGCGCATACCTCCATGGTCTCAGTGCTTTTCTTCGTTGCCGTCAAGTGACTTGGCGACCTCCGAGAAAATCGAGCAGAGAGGAAGTCATAACATGCCACACTTCACAGATCCTACGAAGGTTCAGGCAAGTGAAATGAGTTTTGTGCCAGACACTCAGCCTGCCAGCCCCGTGTCTAGACCGCTGAGCGCCTTCATGCGAGCAGCTCCCTTTGGAAGCGTGCAGAACGGCATGGCGTTCGCCTCCACCTGCGCTGGACCAGCTTGCAGGTCAAAGCACAACGGATCCGAGCTTGACCATTTGCTCCCTGACTGCAACTGCAACTGCAACTGAAACGTTGAGAACGGGGAATGCCGCGACTCCCTGCTTCAGCAAAACCTTTTTGAGTCTGCATGGGCGTCTCACAACTCCAGCTTTTGGCGGCGAGAAGTGGATGATCTGCTTGGCTCCTAGCGGACGCGTTGTCTAGTTTGAGCATCGGTGCCGTGCTGAACGGTGAGATCTTGCCTGCTCTTCACCACCCCGCAGACTGTCATCAGCAACGAGGTATCTTAGTTGCGGAATTGTACGAGATTGCTGATTGGGTGCTGCAGTTCTGACAAGCCTCCTCCTGGTGGCCCACTGAAACAGGTCATTAAGACGTAGTGGGCTGTCTTCGTCAAAGCTCGTGGACCGTGTTCAAATCCACAGCCCCACTCTCAACAGGCCACTGCTGAACTCCCTGGCTTGCTCCCCGGATCCCACCAAAAGCTTGTGGACTTCCAGGCCTTCTACCCTCCTCACACCCTGCCAAGCTCCGACCAAGCTGAGCATGCCCAACCCATTGCTGTCACTTTCAAATGCAAACTTGGTGAGGAGGGGCAGAATCCAAAGGACTCAAAGACCTAAATGAACGGCGGCTCCACACGAATTTTGTCAGAGGTTGAAACAGTCACAGTCAGCAAGGAGTAGAAAAATCTACCCTAAACAGTAGTTTCCATTTTCTTTTCCATGATCCCAAGATATAACCCCACATTTTATCTACTAAAGGGGGACTATATCCCTAGGATCCTTTTAAACAATTTGAAAACCTTGCCGAGCAGAGATGGCTGGCAACGAATCTTGCCAGACGTTGCATTCCACACGTAGCACACCCCTCCACGGACGGAACTTCCAGTACACAGTGCCTTGCTAGCCACCTGCCTCCAAACTCCTTTACCAAACAATCATCTGGCAAAATCTGAACAGTTTCCTCAAATATAGCTCTCGCTCCAGCAAGATATTGCCCATGGTGTCAATAGTCCGAAAAGGGGCTCTGGCTTTAGCCGACATGAAAAGGTCTTCCCTTGATTTCCCCTTTTATTCACGCGTCGCAGTTTGTGTCTGACTTGACAATCTTTTCTGAGCTACAGGCTCCCAGCTCCCACCCCGCACAACTTGGCGGACCACGGGCGTCCAGGCAGAGGCCTCCAGCGGGGCACACAAGGTGTTGGCAAGGAAGCATGAAAATTTCTGGCGCATTCCCAAACACGCTGCCTGCCACAGTTCGAGCACCACTGGCACCTGCACGCATTGCTGTGCCGACACGCAATCATGACCACCGTCCGACTACACCACATTACACCATGCAGGGAATTGTGCCTCGGGAATGTTGTTGTGAAAGAGCTCCACACACCTGACCTGGCAAGCATCTGGGGTTGTCCAATATTCCTTGATGTGGAAACCCTCGTGCTTTGCTTATCACATGTTCCCGCGTGATAATTTTAGTACTGGCCCGACAAAGAGTCAAGAAGCAAAGGCAACAGCGTCTGGAAGACCGTCACTGGTCGAAAGACCTCGAAGCCAAGCCAGGCCTCCCCTCTTTCAGCCTCATTTGCACGAAGATTGAGGTCTTGAAAGTCAGCGCCGCAGACTTTCCATGCATTGCAGCGACAGCAGGTAGTTCAGCAGAGCGCCAACTGCTACTTTCCGCTCATTCTGCCTTCGTGGTCGAGTCTGATGCCGAGCACTGTCACCGAGTCCAAGGGTGAGAAGCACTGAGGCAGAGTTATTTAAGGCCTTCATAATGGACATGGTAAGAAGATCAACCAGCACAGGGAGTTGGTCACAGCGTGCACCATGACACTAACTGTCTTGAGATATTCAAGTCACCAACAACCCCTGGCAGGCCCTTCCCAGTGAAACAGTGGAATAAGGTCAGCAGATTGGGCATGTTTGAAGTGGCAAGACTTGATACATCTGGACTCATATTTGTGCTAGCAACACTTGCCGGCTGCAGTCCATGTACCCTCGCTGACCAATTGCCACGCTAGATCGCGACCGTGCTGGCTTGTGAGTCAGTCAGCTGCTAGGCTTCGGAGCACCGCACTTGAAGCACTCATTCCTGCGGGCGAAGTTGCTGCAGTCGCACTTCTCACAGATCCAATCCTCGGCTGATAAGCGCTTATAGATGCTGCAAGGCTGTGGTGATCGGCTTGAAACGCATGCAGCTTTCCCGAAAGCCACGCAGCTACGCTTCACCATGCCACATCCAGCACATCCAAGATCATCCAAGTTGCTCCTCCCCAGTTGCCACTTGGCCTTCCATATAATCGAGGGCGGTACCAAAGCTCATGCTGAGGACCCGGGGCCCTCGAAACGACAACAGACCCAGCGGACCATGGCCCCAAACCCCCTCATAGGCAGGATAGGCCCTGGCGAGCTTCAGAATTGGTCCTCAAATAGGGTTCCCCCCTACCCTCTGGACTGATCAGCAAAGCTAGGCCTCAAGCGAAAGCTCCTCCTGGAAGGGAACTTTCGTAACAAACCTAGAACCACCTGTTCGTTGAGCAAAAGTGTGGCCTGACCCTGACAACTGTGGTTGAGTTGTAGGCGCAGCAGCCGCACATCTGAACACCACCACATGCTGAGAATACTCAGAAGAGCCTTCCGCCAGGTCCAAAGGCTCGGCGAGGGCTGCGGTCTCTGTCGTAACGGTCGCGGTCACGTCGCCTGTCATCACGGCGATCCCGGCTACCATCGCGGTCACGCGACCTGCATACACCGCACTAAATTCCCATCAAGAGTTGCCTGGCAGGACGTGCAAATGACATCATGTCAGTTCAAATAAGCATCTGGTAAAAGGCAAAGCCGTGCTGGAAGTGCTAAGGCAACACATGCTGCTGACCGATGGATCGCACCTTCCTCCGTAGCGCCTGCATGGGACATGACATCCACTGCTGAAGACTCATTCTTTATCTTTGCTGATCTCCTGTGAGTTACAGCTGGCCTTCCCTCATCTCTTCTTGAACGGCCGCCCCGATCATAGTTCCTTGCATGTGGTCCGTCACAATGGGATCACGGCATCAGAAGCCCAGCGTGCAAGCTGGCCTGTCGTAGCTTCGCTCTCTTCTATCCTCATTGCTGAGAGCAGGCTGCTTGTGGTATCTAGCAGAGGCTCGACGTCATTAGATGCACATACAAGGAAAAAGGAACACAGTATCTTAAGGCCAAGCCACGTAGTCACGGCCTCTTCCTGCCAAACCAAGCGAATGCTCGGGTCTCTGCCCTGAGCGTAAGAGCCGCTACAGTCCCTACAGGCCTCGATCGCGACTGTCTCTGCGAGGCGGGCTGGCCCTCTGTGGGCTATCGCGATACCTCTCGGAGCCACAGCGGTAAGCTATAATCATGAAGCAGGAATATTCTGCGCCCAATGCAAGCCTTGCACGGTCGCGGCTGTCTTGTCGATCACCTGGGTTGGCGGGCCAACTGCCCTCCGTCAGCCCAAACGTTGCAACCACCAAGTCAACCACCGCCTACAAGAACTGGAAAGCTCCAGCAACCACAGCTGTGTGGCCCGAGTCGTCCCGCGGCATCCTGCTGTCCAGGCAACCTGGAAGCTCCTTACACACAAGGTCGCAAAAAGTGCACCATGCGGCTTACTCGAATCTGACACCGCCGCTCGTATTCTGCAAGGAACTTCTTGGAGTTGCTAGGCAGCTCAGTGTAGATGACAGCTGTGTTGTGCAGACTTGCTACTGTAGGGCCAAGAAGTCATGAGCACGGTCCCATGACTATTCAGGCAAGCTGCCCCCGTCAGGTTCCGGCGAATCCGTAGGGGGACTGAATAAGCGGCTACATGCTGCGGGCAACATATCACGTATGCGGCAATGCAACCTTTGATGCAGGCTCTGCAGACTCTGGCACCAGGTGACCAAACACATCCATGCTTTGCTCAACCCACAGGTTATCACAGCCAGCATTATGTTCCTGGCGTGCTAACCCGCGAGCAAGCTCAATAATTTTGATGGGTAGATCTTCTGCACGTTCTCGTGAGCAGCGAGAACATCACGGCGCTCTCAGCAATTCAATTTTTCAGTACTTGTGCAGTAAGTGACATGCTGGTGAACATCTTGCTGGCTGAGCAAGAAGACGAACGAAATCCTCCAGGTCTACACTACGGCCTCTGCGTCACTGCGTCAATGTATCTGTGGCTCCTTCATGCAGGGCTGTCATAAGGTCCGAACAGCTTGCAGCAGCATGCTTCAGTCCCTTCACATATCAAATTTCCATATCTGGCAAGAACCACACTGTTTTTGCCAGCCATGTAGCATCTCGAACCAAAAAACTTGCTGCAGCTGTCTACATGCAGCCACAACAGGCAGTAGAGTAGGTCTTCCAGCTTCCAGGAACAGGAGCACCTTCCCCACAAGCGGTCTTACTCACGCATGAGCATGAGGCGAGGGAGCCCGTGCCATCGCACGGAGGGGGCTTCACTCCATCCACTGTCAATTTCTCGCACCAAGCCGGAAGAGCTGTGGAATTCACCCTAAGCTTGTCTGTCTCCAGAAGCGATGAGCAGCACCCTAGCATTGTGCCATCCTGCGCAGGGCAACAGCTCCCTGCAAGCTTCAGAGCCTGACAAGCTGGATGGACTGCACAGTCGGCCTTTGGGTCAGCTGCAGGCGCAACTGCGGGCGTGACTTCGGGTGCAGGTGCTGCAGCTGGTGTTGCAGCGGGCACGACAGGCACAGGTGCTGGCACCGGTGCGGCAACAACGGGAATTGGCGCAGTGCAACCGCAGCACGAATAGGAGTAGCTTTGCCAGGAGCCAGGAGGGAAAGGACCGTTGCCCCCGCAGACCACAGGACCCTGGCAAACGCAACTTCCAGGCCCTCCATTGCAAGCTGCAACGGTGCTGCGCGTGTATGAATCCATGCTGTAGCACCAAAACGGGACTCCGGGCTGTTGGAGCTCACGCTTGCCAATTGCCACCGCGGTTTGAAGAAGTTCCACGTTCATCTCTACGGCCTCCAAATCAGCATCACAGGAGTCTGACTCGCAAACTTCAGCCGACCGGGCAACAGCCAAAAGCAAACACGGAAGAATGGATGGAAGCGCCATAGCTAGGTCAGAGAAATCTTATGAAGTTCAACTGCTGCCAAGGTTTGTTGGCCAGCTTGAGCCCATGATGCCACCAGTCCCTCCGACTCAAAGGGCTCCCCGGCCCAAGAATAATTGTAGCACACAGAGTAGGGCAAATGCTATGCACGGGCTTGCTAGACATGTCTATGTAAGAAGGACCCAGTTGCGCCGTGCTTGTCACGCTGAACCAAGGCAAAGAGCTAACCCTATGCCGGTCTACACCCGCGGTCCTTGCACTGGCGATGGCCGCCGGAGGAAGGAATGAGGCGGTTGCGCTTTGCAGCTAGGCAGGTAGCAACACGCATTATCATTGCTTCGAACCTATCAACAATATTTCCCTGGTTTGAACCTGATTTGGAATCTCAGAAACAAGCTACTTGAGCATAGCCGCTGCGTGCACACCAAGCAGCACGATAATGTGAACTCAGCCAGGTTTTCAATCCTATGCTGGACCAGGCTCCTAGCTTGCTTGGAGTACCAGAAGAATCGATCTGCGGAGTCAGCCTGCAAACTTCCAGAAATCATGGTCAACGCACTGTGCTGCAGACTGACGTCTTACGGATCCAAACTGGGGAAGCAGCCAAGAGGTCGAGGGCATGGCTGGGCTTGAAGCTGGCACGGTGGCCACTCTCCAAAGTGCGTAGTTGGCTCCTAGAAATCTCTCCAGACATGGAGCAAGGCCCAAAATTAAAGAGACCTCTAAGAACAGACAAGCCCACGAGACTCCTGATCCTCAGCGAGCAGTTTGCGTCCGAGTAGAAAGCTATCTCATGCACCATCCAACCTCCAACGTCTTGATCACACACCTGAGGCGTCAAACGCGGATAGAATCAAGAGGCAAGGAGCTGAGTACCTGGGAGCCACACAAGCAAGAAGCCTGTAAACCAAGCTCCGAACAACGCGCCACTTGGTCGATGAACCTCAGCATGTTTTCTGCCAGCGCGGCCCAGCAGAACTCTCAGCCTCCATTCTGCCCCTGAAATTCCTGAGTTAATTCGAACAAGCTACGCGAGCTTCGTGAAGCTGCCGAAGGAGGTCCTGAAGAAGCTTCATCCAGACCAAGGCAGCACCGCCTGCACCGAGATAGCCAGTAATGGTCCAAGCAGAAGAAAAAAGGGCGGTTCCCAAAATTAGGGGTACCTTTAGAGCGGGATGTAGAGTCTATATAGGGGTATATGAGGGTATATGGTGCTTAGTGTTCCCCAAAACTAGGGGTACTTTTTCGGGTGTCCGCAGAATAGGGATTGTATTTTGAGGATCTATGGTGGGGACATGCACACTACCACATGGCAGGCGCTGAGCCACATGCGCCTTTTGAGGTTGACCCACGGGCTTTTGGGCTCCTCCTGCATCCCACTACCATGTGAGCTATTGTCTTAGCTTTTAAAGGGGGGTTATACAGGGGATGATATAGGGGACTATTATAGGGCATATTAAGGGGAATAGTACTATAGGAGACTGTAGCTCATGTGCATTTGCATTGGCCCAACGTGCTGCACCCATCTCCAACCCACCACTACAATTCACAATAGCCAGCAGCTGCTTTGGAAACAAAATAAAGCCCTTCGTGCAACATAAACATCAGGCTCACCACTGAGAACACACTCCCCCGACATAAACTTGCGTGGTAATCACGGATCCCAATAAACTCGAACTACATCCTATCTGATGGCGCCCGATGCCCCCGCAAGGCGAAGCCAATTGAAATCCTTCTTTAATCAGCTGATTCTGCGAGGGTGTAGGAACAAGTAGCAAGGTCGTAGCAAGCTGAAGGTTATGTCTGCACTCTTGCGTACTCTCCTCGAAATAGGCGATGCAAAGAGACTGGCCTATAGGTAAAGCGCTGGCCATCCCAGCAGTCTAGATTTCCGTTGGGCCTTGCTTCAGCAAGAGCTAGGACTGATGTGTGTCAAGGCATGCGTCTGGACTGAGCGCGGTGCGGGCTGGTGCAGCACAACTCCTCGCAATTAAAGCGTGCTGGACCAGTTCTCAAGTGCGCTCAATGAGGCTGCGACGTGGGTGAAGTGACCATCCCAGCATGGATGATTTCCTGTTAGCATGGCACCATCATGCACCATCCCAGCCTCTAATGTGTGAGCGCCAAGCATACAAGGCGCCTCGGCTCTTCACAAGCTGAGTGCCCAGAGCCAGGGCATACAGCCGCTGTCGGCGCATTCGGAGCGGATCTTCTCATGATCCAATATGAGCAGTCCAAACATGTCCAAACTACCTCCCTGTTCGAATCTAGCACGGGGCTCAGGACCCTATCGCTGTGAATGGTTGGTCTCTGCTCGCATGCCGTCATGACTGGAGCATAAAAACACGTGACTTGTTAAATGGCAGCAGCATGTAGCAGCATACGACATCACAGGCATGCCAACAAGACATGATGTCAGATTGTCAGATTGCACTGGGATTGCGGAGGGCGTGTCCCACGTCGCGGAGATCTGCGACACGATCCTTGTATTCCAGCCTGGCAGCAAAAGCACCAGCACCGCAATGCTTGCTCGGGATACCTCCTACTGATGCAGAGCATGCCAGGCAAACAGCTTCTTGATCTCTTCCGGTGTCGGCAGTGCAGGGATGAGCAACTGCAAGAGCGAAGCATCCAACCAAAATCTCTGTTGAGCAAGGCCAAGCAAGCACCTCCACATCCTCTACATTGATGAAGTCCTCACTGAAGTTCAGATCTTTGAGGCTCTGGCAGAACTCCTGGCGCACAAATCAAGTGCCATCAAGTTGGAGTACCATGGCCAATCACACTGAGAGTGCTCCTCGGTTGACACCTTCCGGAGGTCAAATGCCACGAAGCTAAGCATCCACACTCTTGCGATAGCCAGTGTGCGTGATCCCGCCTTCATCTTGCTCATGACAATGGCAAGGTTCTGTGCTCGCGATCCGTCCAACAGACTGATGCCTACAGAGACAGCGTGATGCTTACGAATACTTGCGGGCAGCTTTGGCCGGAATCTTGCAAAGTCAAAAATCCATTCGCGTGCCTGCTTTCTTTGTTATGGACTTTCGCCTGCAAAAAGTAAGTGTTCCCCTCGTTTTGCAAACAGCACTGACCACATCATGGCATGTATCCTCGGCCTCCCGATCACCAGCGGCTTCTCTGCTGACTCACCAGAGAGCATGGCCTCCAACAACGGAGACATGACTTCATTGGTCAGCTGACCAGCACAGCTTAAGCCATGGTGCCTTGAGCAACTCGGGGTCGAAACGCACGTCAGATGTGAGACCATGAAAGACTGAATTTTCTGAAGGTACGTCGTAGTGAGCACCTGCCCAGTGCAGACGTCGTCCCAGGGGCGTCTGGCCCACATACCGCGGAGGTGTTGCTGCAGCCTTTGACTTTGGAGCAGCCTTACCTCCACCCTTGGGAGGGGGAGCTTTGCCCTTTCCAGGGGGTCCTTTTCCGGGTCCTTTGCCAGCACCTTTTGCAGGCGGTCCCTTGCCAGGACCCTTGCCCTTGGTGGCCGTCTCCGTCTTCTCCTCCGTCTTGCCCTCGGGCTTGTCTTCCTCCTGCCCGTCCTTCTCCGGCTTCTCTGCCTTCTCCTTCTCCTCAGCCTGTGGCTCGGAAGACTTTGCCTCAGTTTCAGCCGCTTCCACGCCTTGCTTACCTGCAGGCGGAGCCTTGCCACCTTTGCCTTTCATGCCCTTAGGGCCCTTGTTGCCTTTGCCCTTTCCAGGCGCTAGCAGCTTGCCCTTGTCTCCTTTGCCGCTGCCAATTGAGGATGGTCCCGTCTCCGATTCAGGAGAAGAGCATTCCACAGCTTGCGTGGCTTCTTTCTCGTTGGGTGATGCACTCAGACTCGACAGACTCGACTCGACGTCCGAGCCTTCTGTTTGGCTCGCGTTGCTGACATTGCTTGCCATGCTCACGTTGCTAACATTGCTGACAGGGCTGACATTCACCTCAAGAGCTTCGCAAAGATTGGGAGGGCTGCCCTTGTTGCCTTTGCCTTTTCCAGGCGCCAGCGACTTTCCCTTGTCTCCTTTGCCGCTGCTACTTGAAGATGGTCCCGTCTCCGATTCAGGAGAAGAGCCTTCCACAGCTTCCGTGGCTGCTTTCTCGTTCGGCGTCGCTGTCAGACTCGACAGACTCGACTCTATGTCCGAGCCTTCTGTTTGGCTCGCGTTACTGGCACTGCTGGTCATGCTCACATTGCTGACCTTGCTGACAGCGCTGACATTGTTGAAGTTTGCCTCCAGAGCTTTGCAAAGATTGGCAGGACTGCGCCTCATTCACCGGGCAAAAAAACATATCAGCATTGGCCCAGCTGCTCGAAGCTTGTCTTTGGGAGGCACAAAACTAAATGCAAAGTCCCCGGCCCACCCTCATTGAACCAGTCATCAGTTGCATCGATGCCTTGGCCCGGCATCACTGCAGAAATACGCCAACCTCTTGGATCTGTTCACCCCTTCCACACCTTTACCATGCAGTGTTGTGCACTGTCCAGAACCCGGTCGGTTACATTCTCACAAAGCAGCATTAATCCAAATGGACCAACCCTCACTTAACTGTGCAGATTTTGGAAGCTACGTCAACTGAAGAAAGACATGACAAAGCCATCTGGTCCGTTCAAATGCCAGGTGTCTGCAAGTGTGCAATGCGGAAATCAGAAGTTGCAAGAGCTTATCAATCTTTGAAAAGAAGGGCTGACCTAGCTTGACCCTTGTAAACGCAAAGTAAGACACCTTGAATTCGAGCACACCTTCCCTCCAAGTCCCTCGCTGTAACTCACCGGTTCGACGTCATCTGCATCCATTCGAACGAACTGGACCGCACTGTCCTGCATCAAAAAGCACAGAGGCTGTAATGGTTGTGCCATCTTCTGCACAGTCAAGACCTTCACACGCTCTGTAAGTAAAATGAGAGCATGGGTTGCAACTTCTACTGCAACTGTGCTGTTCTTGCTCCGCAGGGTCATCGCAACAGCGAGTTTCGCAGTTATGCACTTGGCTTTCCTCCAGAGGCCGCTTTTCAGGCCTTGCTCCGCTCAGTTGCACTGACTTCTTGTTGTCACTATGTTCCTGTCAACACGTCATACTGTATGTAGGACTCTGGCGTTTCGTCCATCAGCCAGAAATCCAGTGGGTCAGGATCAGGGAGTCCTGACGGACCGGCATTCTGGCTTCCAGCTCATTATCCACAAGTGAAGCCGCCCAGCCTGCATAGGGCGTTCTCTGACCTGGCAGGGTCCAGGAACAAATCAAGGGGACATGAGCCGAAGTCCTGCCCCCACCTTCTGAGTCACCATCTGCCATGTTGACCACGAACTCTGTGACGCCAGTGGCCTGACGCTCGTTCAAGATGCCAGGTCTGGAGACGAGTCCGCCCAGGTCAGTGCGGTTGCGCGTCCGTCTTTTGCCATCCACGCTGCGAACCTATAATGGTGCGCATCGGAGGGTCCGAGCTTGCCCTTAAGGAAGCCGCCTAAGTGATATGTACACAGATTGAGGCAGCTGACCATCGCGGGGCCGAGCCAGTTTGCTGAAAGGTTTTAGAATGTGTTCCATTGCGCAAGCCTGTGAACGTTGAAACATTACACTTTGCTTTACGCTATTGTCCTTCAACATCTCTGATGAAAGTCAAAGGTCGATCAGGCTGCTCCCGACTGTCAGTGCTCTTGCTCTGTGGCAAGCTTTTTCACGTACCACAGCCAGGTGTCGTTTGACAACCGTGGCAGCTCACGAGGTATAAACAATCGAGTCAGAGCACGCATGCGAGGATGATTTTAAAACGCATCAGCGCATGAAGGTGGACGGTGCTGTTGCAACTTATTTCACACTGCGTACGTACACCCTGCAGCAAGCCATGGCATCTGCAAACCGTGCAAGTGCGTTGCTGCCATGCCTCATTGGGAGTGAGAACTAGTTAAATCGTGCAGTTGGGACCCGTCTCAAGCTACGGTACACACTGGCAAACAGATTCTCCAGTCCTGATGCGGGTGCAACATGCATGCTGAAGAGTTGCTGCAGCCGGCACATCCAGCAAGCAAATCCGATCACTGCACATCTTGTGGCATGCGAGTGTCCTTGGCTATTGTCGCTGCCTCCATAGGACTCTGACCAGAACCTGGGATCTGCGAATTGAGTTCATCATCACAACAGGACCGAATACCCCAACATGCTTTGGCTGGCAGGCAAAGGACAAGCAGAACTCCTCAAAGTCCACTACGTCATCCCGATTCTTGTCCTCAGCTGCACAGGGCATGTCCATACAACACTGCTGGATTTTCACAGACTGTCCGTTGTTAAAGTGCCAGGTCTCAGCAATTCGCCAAAGATTGGCGACCTCAGGAAAAAGTTGACATCATGCTGAGATAGGCCATACAGTACCAATAGGCAGGGGAACAAGGAGAATGCACTTGCAGCCCCAGGCACACGGTTGGGCTCCAGCTCTGTCTCTTTCCTAGGCGCAAACAGCGTGACAGAGGCAAATATAGCAACAGCCGGTAGCCCTGCCAGCGAGCATCGGTAGCTTCAGCAGATGCCGTAAGATGTCCTCAAACTCATCTATCTCGATCACACCTCAGCTTGATAGTAAAAGCATGAGCAACTCGGACAGAGCATGCAAGAGGAAGTCAAAGAAGAAGCTGGCATTGAAAAACTAGTAGCCGCTCTTGTCCGCATCGAACTTGTCAAATGCTTTGCGATAATCGTCCACATCTACAACCTTACAGCAGAGGCATCTCCTGCTGCATCACAGGCAATATGAGATTAGAATTTCAAGCTAAGTCTCTTCAAGGCCCAGCTTCTTGGCCAGGCGCCTGGTCCTATGATCTTCCTGCTCATGATGACATAGGTGCATGCAATATATAACAACTTACAACAAGCTTATTGGGACATGTGGGAGTTTCCCTAAATTACTGTTCCCAAAATGGGGGAAATTTATATAGGGCCCGTATTATAATAGGAACCTAAATATAGGACCCCGTATTGACAGTAATTTAGGACAATCCCCATGTATGGTTTGCGTTTGCGGGCGAAGGTTTGGCTCATCAGACTCATGACGCGTCTCTGGGGCAAGCATGCGACACGCGATATGTACAAGTTGCTTACTCGGTCTGGCCTTGTTGGGTGTCAACTCTTCTGAGAAGCTGAAGGCCGAGTACCAGATAAAAAAGTCCCTGACATCCTGCATGGTCTAAGAATAGCTCACTTCACTCAATAAACCCTCACACAATCTGAGGTGCCGAGGACAACACGATAGTGTCGCTTCCAGTCCGGTTAGCGGTTCGCGTCGCAGTCTCCACGAAGTGTGGTGACAAATCAGAAAGACTTTCTACCTCATTGGGTGCACACATAGAGCTGTCAGAAAAATTCAAGAAGCTTTACCTTCAAGCTTTTACCTCCATGCTGGCACTATCTGAGCACATGGCCCGGGTCAGCTCCTTAGGTAGCAAAGTGATCTAGTGTCGTGTGATTCATATCACCCACCCTAGGCAGCCTGATATTCTTCTTGAGAACGAGCCACGCACAACAGCTTCGGAAAATTGGTCATCCGCAGCTTTCGCTGGAACAAGTCCGTGCCTGCAGTTCCACGCTGCAAGCACGGCTTAGTGCATCAATCAGCGCTGCTTGCACTCCCAATATAATCCCCCTACCTTCAAACAAACCCTGAGCCCCCATCTTGAGCATTCCTTATACTAGCCATCTATGTACGAGGCCTTCTTAATGATGCGTAAGGTTGTTCAAAGGTTGTTCAACAGTGAGAGGTAGTTGCAACGAACAAGCATTTTGTAGGTCGCCCTGCTTCTTGCTCATGACTGCTTACCTTCTATGGGAGTTGGTTGCGTTTCCCTGTCAATATGACTCAAGCTCTGCTTATTGTAGCCATAGTAGCATCAGTGCCGTGTGGCCTTCTCCGTCGGAGTATCTGCTAAAGATGTCGGTCGCTGACTGCACGAGCTCCAAGGGAATTCGGAGCTCAAAAGCCAGCCTGCTCCATACGAGATCGCCGCTTGGCATCGCAGTAATGAGTCTCTGTTTTGACGGACTATGGCAACGCCACCAACTGCAATTGCATTGAAGCCTCCCCTGCACCACCAAAAAGACCCACGAAACAAAGAAAAGAGATCACAGGCCAAGCTGCAGAATCGCTCACAGGTCTGAAGTGCAGGCAAGGCGCTGGTGTATCTGCGGCCCCTTGGCAATGGAGACACGTGGGGTCGGAGCATCGACGGAAGTGAGGTCCAAGCCTCTCCGAGTCATACACGCATACTATGCCAATATAAATGCCCGTTGCCCTGTCAAGCTCCAGGCCATCAATTGGCGGCAGAGTTTCCTCCGCTTGGATTGGAGTCCCGGCCATGAAAAAAGCCATCACAACGGGCTGTCTCTGTCAGAACAAAATGGCCGGAAATCTCAGCCAGGCTGCAAGGAGAGCTTTGCCAGAATACCTTGGCACGAATTTGCTCAAGCTCAGGTGCTGAATTCGTCGATTTTCCCTGTGCATTAGCATACACTAGGCTGAATGAAGCCAAGGCACCTCTGCCTTGGACTATGGTTCAGGAGGGGGATCGGCGTTAATTGCGCCGGTCCCCTTCTCCTCTCCTTGCGCAGGTCTTCGCTGTTTTGTCGGACCATGGAGCCTGTCATCGGCTAATCAGCCAGCGTGCTGGATGTGCTGGAAACCCTGTGCCTTTCTTTGACCCACTGCTGGATCCTTGCCTGCCAAGAATCCAAACTTGCGCAGCGGACTTGCTTCGTCCAGGCTTCTCGGTGCTGAAAAACAGAAACAGAACTACGCATGACATTCGACACACAGACTGCCACAGTGCCTCGCTTCTGACCTGAGTAGGCAGGCAGCAACAGCTCCTCAAGGCGTTCAACCCCTGCCATGAACGACTGGTGTGCGTGTCGCTCGAAGGCCATGGCTGCTGTCGCTCCATGGCTATGCAGTCTGCGGGCTGTTCAAGGCCTACGCTCAGCAAGATTGAGGTTGGCAAGCTGGAGAGCAAGAGGCTGCATAAGACCCCTGGTCCCATGCAATTGCCACCAAGCTGCTGGCTTCCAAGACCTGAAGAACAGCTTTCTACCCTCCTTCACTACAGCCAGTTTTTCCCCCTTTGTTCCCGGAGAGGTGCCTGTGTAGCAGGTGTTGGTGTGGCTGGAGCACCTTGTTGGGCAAACGCATCACTCATTGCCGCGCAACCCTGAAGACACTCAGTCCTGTGCTAAAGTCGCTCTGCGGAATGCCTTGGATCAAGGGCCAAGTCCATTTGCGACTAGCTGCTTGTATTCGCTACCAGCTCTGAGCCAAGCTTCCATTCTCGTTCCAATAGACAGCATGAAGTCCTGGTTCCGACCTGCTACCAAAAATTCACTCCAAAACATTTGTCGGCTCTGCATGCATCTCGGTCGACGTGTATCCTCTGGTGTTACACGCTTGCTGGTGGCATCACCTGCCTGATGTGACGCAGGTCTCCGCAGAAGCGCTTGGGCATGAGCTGTCAGGGGAAGAAGAGCTCTGGCGCATGCGTACTGCAACAGTTGCACTGGGTTCTGTCCTACGGCCCACGTTGAAACACAAACCTATGTACGGCCTTCTTCTTCCTGCCAACCTTTGGCAAGGCCTCAGATGAAAATTCGAGACAACCACAGAACCACATTTCATGTATGAAAGAATATGAAAGATGCACAGGGCGGCGAGGGCAGAGATAACTCATGCAGCTGGGTGGCCTTTCTGTCCGGGCTGACTTTGTGCGCTTGCCTCGCAAGGAAAGAAAGCGGAGAAGCAAATGGCCAAGTCATACCTCGGGCCGTGTCTAGACCAGGCAGGCTGAGGCTGCTGGAAAGGTTCATTGGGTATCGGAGAAGCGGCCCCAGGAATCCGACTTCTGATGAGAACATTTGCTGTTGCAACACATTGAAAAAAAAAACGGAAGACTTCTTAGCGATTTAAGGCTCCCTTCTGCTGTTCAGCAAGCATCCCACCGACATGAAACATGGCTCAGTGTTGCTGCGCCTTTCCCTCTCCTGCGCAGTCTGCAGATGACACTTCACACCGCCTCAGGGCCCTCACACAAATCCAGGACCCCGCTGGCTTTGCACAAGCTCCCCGCCCATAGTCCTGCCTACTGCAAGCGCGATAGCCGATGTAAGCGGATACACGTCAGCGTCGATAATCTAATCATAATTACAACATTGAAGCTGCAAAACAACAATGCCTGCCTCAAATGCTTCACTGCATGGGTTGCACGATCGTCCACGAACCTGAGAGTGTTGTCCCTCCACTCCAGCTGCCACTCCGTTTGGTTCTTCTGCGCCGCTGTCTACATCAGACCGTCACAGTGTTTCAGAACTGGAGGAAGCAGGCAATTATACGAACTTCTCGACTGCAGCGCATGTCCGAAGCGCATACGTCTTATGTCTACTACTTCTCAAAATATGTGCAGGATCGAGGCACTTGGCAAAGTCGGACCAATCTCTGAAGCCTTCAGCTTTGAACCTGCAGCTCACTTCACATGACCACGATGAGAAATCATCCATCAGAGTAGCGGCGCTCTTTGCTCCACCCCTGTTGGAACCCCTTGCAACGCTGAGTCACTGAACCTGCTGCACCCTGCTGCCAAGGCACCCGCACATGAGTGACCAGCCGCGGATCCGCTCGGGTGCATCGTTCAGGGGCACAGATGTTGCCAGGACCATTTCACTCGAGGAATGGGAAAGCTATGCACGACAGCACTTGCACACCAATAATGCTCGTGCGGGCTTGAACTGGCAGTGTATGGCAGACCTGGCATCTTGGATGTTGTACCTACGCCTGCTGCAGGGTCTTATCAGCATCCTACCACATGCATGCGAATTTCAATCTCTGGGCCCTTTCTTGACCTTCTCTTGCAGGCATGGAGCCCTGTAACTTGCAGCACATATATACATGAACATGAACCAGATCTGGTGCCAAGAGCCTCACGAAAATAACATGTCCCACCTGCTCCTGGAAGCTGTCCTCTTCGGGCACGATCAGCGGCTTGGGCCACAAATCCTGTTCGTTGCTGTCAACCACCGCAAAAAGCTACATGTTGAAAGGCTAGAAATCACACTTCACCTAGCCTGGAGCTCGGTTTCAGCATCGCTCCGCAGACTTTGAAGTGGAAGATCAATTTCGCCCAATCCGTGAACCTGCACGTCTTCGCATGCTGCCTTCACCTAATATAACCCCTCTATAATCCCAGCTTCCATTTCATTATCCATTTTCTTTTCCATTTGATTCTCCATTATTGGGGCATTATACCCCCTATATAGTATCTTATAACCCCTAACCCGTAAACCCTAAATAGTAGTTTCCATTTTATTTTCCATTATCCCTATATAACCCCAATTATAACCCCTATATTATATTGTAGTAGTTTCCATTTTCTTTTCCATTATCCCAATAAATCCCCAATATATATCCTATTATACCCCTAATATATACCCCAATATACTATAGTAGTTTCTATTATCTGCCTGAGACTGTTTGTTTACCCCCCATCGACCCGATCCATGGTTGTACCTGCAGAGCTCGGGGACGCCGCAGGCGCTTCACCTCAAAGCATCGCTAACATCCTTAGGTTTTATTGGGGTTATATAGGGATAATGGAAAAGAAACTGGAAACTACTATATTATATAGAAGTTATATGTTAACATCCATTATTATTGGTATTATTACTGTTACTATTATTGTTACTATTATTAGTATTACTATTATTGTTATTATTGTGAAAGCATCTGTTTCATGCCATCTTGTTGATTCAGCCTGAGGTTTTTGCCCGAACCTTTTCAATGAGCTCATCGCTCTTGCGCAGTGCCTCAGGGCGTACACAGCTTGCTGTAACCCAACCAGAAAGTCTGACAGATTCTGGGCACCGCACCCGAGCCGCCTCCATGGCCAGGGCCGCCCGACTAACTACGGCACACTGCAGGGCGTCATGGCCATCGGCGGTGATTCCCTAAGTCAGAGTATAGAGAGCACAGCTTGAAGCATCTCCTTGATGGAAGCCAGGTGCCGAGCTGTGTCAAAGAGAACCAGTTCTTCCACACCCCACAGGGCCTGCAGAGCTCAGCGTGAACTATAGGAGGATGGGTCTGGCTTTCACACCATGCCACGGCGGTCCTCGAAGCGCATGCTCTCAGATCCCGGGCAGGCGGCCACTGCGGCATCTGCCAGGGCCTGGAGAGTTCAGCTGCCTTACCAACCCGAAACCAGAGCGGATAGCTTGGCCATGCTTGGCCTTGGCACCCTGATCCCGAACTGGATTGCATGAAAGGTCCTGGCAGGTCAAGGCTATCCAGAGGCTCAGCAAGCTTCACGAAAGAAGTGGTTGATAACATCCCTAAATGCCTTAAATTCGCACTTAGCTCAAATTGTACCAGTCAACGGTTAACGTGGCCAGCTGGACAAGCTCAATGACACAGCAGAGCTGTTTGCCTGCAGGCAGAGACCGAGAGCTGGGGCTGATCTTATATGTTCAACAGATTTTCCGATTAACTACTGTAGTCTGCCAAGACGCCTCGAGCCAGCATTCATGACGCACACAGCAACTTGCCTGTATGTTGCGAATTGAGGGTCCGCTGCTTCTTCAAGCCTGTATTGCTCAGAGAGTGCAGTCACGCGCCAAGGACAAGGCTGAGAGGCTTCACAAGCTTCACAAAAACTGTCCTTCGGCCAGATGCATGACCCCAATGTCTCCAATGTCATTCCTGGCAACACCACAGCAATTCCGCATGACTCTCAACATCTCTCAACACATGGACACAGAAAGGCTCATATGCCAAGCAGAACTTGCATCAGCATCGATGAGCTTTTTACCGGTGCGCAGTGGCAAGCCAACAAAGGCCGACGCGGCAGACCCGTTGTCCACAGGATACTTGTTGATCTGGCGACTGTTGGCGTGGTGGCATGGTTAAGCTGCCCTGGTTGTAGGAGAGAACTTTGATCTGGCTGATCCAACTGCACAAACCGGCTCAGCTTCCGGACTTCTGAATTTTGACCTTGCGATCAAGTCTCTGCACGAAGCTGCTTCCTCGAGAGGCAGGAGGACCTGAGAGCATTGCCGGAACTCCGCCCGCCAGGCACAGCTCGGATGCGACATCCTCAAGTTCTGGCCTTCAAACTCTCAAGTCTTTCTCAAAGCAACATCCTGCAAAGCCGTGAAAGATTGACAATGAGTGGACAGAGAGCGCCGTACCCCCATGCTCTGGAAAGCAGCAGCGTCTGCCGCTCCGGCCGAATCCACTTTGCCAGGTCCCGCATCTGGGCGAAGCCGAAAGCAGCTAAAAGCTTGCATCTTGCATTCAAGCCACGCAGCAGATCCTAGTAGCGAGTCCGAGACTGCATACCATTGCATACCAACATGAAAAACTTTTTGCCTTGCAGGAGTCGCCAGCAACACCAGAATGCAGCGCTTCGCTTTTCTGCATCCGAAGGCAACACAAGCTATCCAAGCGCAAAGTCTCTACGACATCTCATGTCAGCTGTGTTAGGTGGTGGTTGCTAGAGTTGCCTGCAGCTAAGTCTCAAGTCGGTTAAGCCCTGCAGAAGCTCCTCCCTGGTTGCTGTGGCTGTCTGCCTTCCCACTTGGCAAAGCTCAGCTATTGGTATCATCATCTCAGGATCTCCTTCGGCTGCGACCTGTTTGCATCATTGAATTGTAGAAAATGGTGGGTAGAGTGGAATGCCAGGTCGGTGCGTTCAGACCAGTACGAGGCTACTGAAGCCCGCGCATCGCTGCAATACCATGCACTAGGAACCCGGATTTTTTGCGCTGGGCCTCTTCTTGCGCTGCGGCTTCGGCTGCTCGCCTGCATCATTTGAGTCAGAACCAAAGTCTTTAACTTCACGCCATGCAGCATCTCTGACCTAGTGAAGCAGAAACATCTCATCTACTTTAGGTGAAGCTCTTCCACTAACAAACTTTTGCACGCAGCGGCATGTGGAGGCAATCCATAGAACGCGGATAGCCGAAGCCCCTAGGCCCCCATCAAACAGTTGCAGAGGCAGCCTTCGGCCCGCTCAGACTTGAGATTGGACATGCTGTCCCCCAGTTAGAGCTGTGATTCAAACGCTATGCACTTGTGGAGTGTTGCATAGACAAGGGGGCAGGGAGGCCCAAAACCGAGTGACGCTGCCAGCGCAGCCGCGTCATTCTCTCAGGATTTTTCCTGCTCCGACCCATCATGCACCTGCCCCTACATGTAGTTCACCTGCGGACGGGGGCTCGATGCCCATGAAAACAGCCGAAGTTCTGCATATCTTGCAAGCCAGTTCTTTGGATCACAACGAGATATGCACCAGAAAAAACTGTCTAGTCCAAGATTGAAGCCCCATATGGTCTTCAACATAAGATACCTCCCTTCAATAAGCTTGGTAAGTGCAGTTGAAGCTCCTCCAGCTGCCTGTGCCAGTCTCTACGCACAATGCAATCTTATGTGCAACTTCCGCTGCACTCAGTCCGCATGAAGCATGTAGGCCCAAATCGATCAGAAAATGGAACATCGAGGTAGGCCACAGCTTGTGGAAAACAGTCCCACGCTCATCGAGGGATCTGTGACGATAAGGCTATGTAGGGCGGCACAGGCCACAAGAACCAGACCTCCATTCGGTCTAAGCTCCTTAGGCCTGTGGCCAATGGGAGCAAAACTGCTGGCCAGCTAAACCTCTCCACTTCAATTCAGTTAGAGACGGCCAGCCTTCCCAGCTGACGGCTAAAAACAACTTGAGTGCGATGCAGGACTGTATGTGACTATCATGCTATCAGGCTAACAGCTCTGTCCGAATGGTCCATGTTCTTACAAAAGTCGGCTGTGATTCAGACGCATCGCTCTCTCATCAATGCTTCTACACTGCAAATCGATTGTGGCGGTCCCATTGCCAGAGCTACCTCAGCGCAAGCACATGAATTGCCGGCGAGCTCCAGACGCAGCTGCAATGCGAGACGGAAAGCATTTAGTTGCCGCCGGGTCAAGAGGCAAGTTCAACTTCTTCAACACAGGAGTTGAGAGTGTGATGCAAAAAACTTGCGATTTCTTCTCTTGACAGCCCGAGAGAGAAAGAGGCCCGAGCTTCTCCCAGCTCCCAGCCGCCTACCATAACATACGCACTTGAGCGGGCAGAACACAAGCTGCAGTGCCAGAGGCGTCAGGATCATCAAGTCGAGCCCAGAACGGACATGAGAACGCTTTTGACGTGCATTAGCAGAAAGCCACACGGGATTGCGCAAGTCAATCCAGGGCATACAATACCTCACCGGGCGAACCACGAGGAGGAAAGCATGCAACTGTGAGGAAACTCTCCGCCGAGGCCGGAGGCCTATCCCCTCCATCCTCCTCCCAGTGCGCACGATTCGGGGGTATCCGGTCGGCTCCTATTTTCGGGGAAGAGGTTGGGGGCTCGGGGGGCGGGGAAGGGCGGGGGGGAAGGGGGGGGAAACATCATCTCGTTGCAGTGCCCTTACCACGGCCGTCCACCGCTGACGGAATCTTCAACTGGAATGTCTGAGGATGATGCTTTCATGGGAAGAGCAGGCTGCGGATGGCGGGCTTCGCTTGCTCCATGACCTTCAATGACCCAGCATCGCTAAGCAGGCGGCACGGAGTCCTTCCCCATGAGTGGGTCTGATGTGCGAATGCTTCGGGCCCGCACTAACCCCAGTCTGGTGTCAATGGTGTTGTCCTCAGAAGAACAGGTGCTTGCAAGGATGGGCAGCTTCAGATTCACGATGAAACAAAATCACACCAACGAGCTTCGCACGACTGAAATCTTGCCGCCTGCACAGGCATGTCAAGGGCTTTTGGCCACTTACCCGGTTATTTTTGTACCTGCTCTTACAGGCCTTGGCAGGAAAGCACCACTCCACCCAAGCAGGAGGGCCCATCCTGCAGGTCCGGATATGTAAGTCCATATGTGCATAGATGCCCAGCTAGCGCGCAAACGTTCGGCAAGGTCCTTGCCGGGCACCTGCAGTGCGTGCTTGAATTCAGCGATGCAGGCTCTGCATTTCTAAAACAACTTGGCCGGCAGGGCCGGAGCTGCGGGAAGGAAGCTGCTGTCGATGGTCAGCTTGCAGGCCTGCGGGCACTCTCCCCCGAAGTAAGCGTTTGACAAGGGGTTGCATGGGGTTCCATATTGGGGCCTGTTGGTTTTGTGCATAGGTACCTTGTGGCTTGAAATGGCTTTCAAAGGCGCTGATGCGTTGCCTTCGTGGCGCCAGTCTCCTGCTTGATGATGCTGGCATACTGGTCAGAAGCTTCCTGAAGAAACGGGCAATCCGGCACTCGCTTTGGCTTGACCTACAGGTACGTTACTGTGGTCAAATGCTTCATAGCTTCCCACATGTGCATGTCAGAGGCTGACGGCTCCAAATCAACGTATTCAGTCATATGGCAAGCTTATGCACTCAACAGCACGCAGAATTGCCAGGCAGCGATCTTGCAATGAAGGCGAGGAGTGTCAACAAATCGACAGAATGTTGCGCTACAGAAAACCCAACATAGAACCCAACATCATGTTCACGCCTGTGCTCAACCATGGTTTCTGACATGGGCGGTGTTTGGTAGATTGGATAACGGGATTCGGAGGAAGTCTGGCAGGTGGACCACCAAAGAAAATCAATGCACAATGCTTGATCTGAACCCAGAAGATTGAGCCCCTAAGCCAGCCAAGTATACGAAAGATTCCGAAGGATGAAAAAAATTGTGGAAGATAAGTATCAAATATTTAGCAATGTGTACAGTGACTTGTCCTTCAGGCACTTTTCCACGACCGGCTGGTCAGACCTCAGTTGCTGGCAGGCAAACACATCAGGCCGGCAATATACTGTCGAGTCCCGCACTGACGGCACTTCACAACTACCTCATCTAAGGCCGTCCAGGCAATCTCTTTACAGGCACCAGAACTCTCGCAGCAACTGGCCTCATTCTCCAGCAACATCAGCATGCCCTGAAGAAGCAGCTGGGTAATGAACCTCAGCAAAGCAGTTTGTCCACTCACTCGCAAGACAATAAAGCCCTTCAAATCCCAGCTGCTTCTTGCCAACGTCTGCCTTCTGCAGCTCCTGTGCATCCAAACAATTCATCTGCCTACCCTGAAGGGAACATATGTACAGAAATTACCTGGCAAAATGCTTGCAAACCAAGAAATGCTCCTTGACGATCGCTTCTTTGGCATCTGAAGAAACCTGCCACGATGTGAGGTGCAGCCGCCCTTGCGGCAGTTTCCAGCAACAAAGGAAATTGCAAGGCTCCGTGTGAATATATACTATACTATATAGGTTTATACAGAATATTTTTGTATATTGGGGTCAATATAGGGTAATATAGGGTTATATGAGCTACTGTCTAAACTCCTAGTATCCCCCTTAATAACCCCTATAATAGTCCTGTATATAATCCCTTATATAACCCCCTTTCAGGAGTTCAGACTATAGCTCATATATAACGGACAATGAGTTGGCATACCTACCCAGCCTTGTGCATCACTTCTTGCCGGGCCTGCTCATCTTGGGAGTTCTGATGAGGATGAGGGATTAGGGATTAGGGATTAGGGTTGAGGGTTTTTTTTTACAACCCCTTCACACCTTTTCTGTGCAGGCCACAGGCCAGGGGATGCGTCTTAGGCACCTGTCAGACTAACTCGCCTCTCTCACTCCCCACCTTCCTTCAACAACCTCATGGACTGCCAACTCTACTCACAACTCCTCCTCAACGTCAGGTATGGTTTCCGTGACAAACATCACCGAGGTCTCAGTTGTGCCGTCGTTTCCACGATTATTCCCGTTGATGTGTGATTGGGGCTCTGGGATATCCGCATGCACGTCCATGTCCAAGCCCACGTTCAAGCCAATGTCACTGTCCCTCTCCTGGTCTATCTCGCCTTCCGTGCCTTGGCCTGCTGGTTGAACTTCACAAGGAGCACGGTTTGGACCATCCATCGAGCCACGAGCCTCACTCGGAGCGGAGCCCACACCTTCATGTTCTCGAGATAGGCCTTCACCGCTCTGCGATGCATCTTCCTTTCTCTTTTTGGCATCTCTTGCATCAGGTAGACGTTCCGCCTGCCGATCTTCCGCTTGTCCATCTTCGCAAGTTTGCGTGCCTTGATCTCGTGTTCGGGTTTCCGCCTTTTCGTTCATTGCTTGGTGAACAGCCCAGTCGTCCCACTGCTGAGCCTGCCTTGCCGCCATAACTTCTTTCTTCCTTTTCCTTTTGGACTCCTTTTTCATGAGTTCCCATAAGTAGTGCTGGGTCTCCGTCGTC